AAATGTTTCAAAAAAATGCAACACCTTCTTCCATCCTCTCTGAAGACCTTGAGTGAGCTAATTGCCATCCAGTTTCTCACTGGGTTCTTCAAAAACTGCCCTAAGATATGATGAGACAGAGATCCCTTCTGGTATAAAGAACTCATCCAAGGGTTTGTTAATCAACAAAGATGCAGCATGGTCTAATGAAGAAGATGAATTTTTGCCCACAAGTAAGCTTCAGTGTTTGCTGGCACAATCTTGGCAGATATTTGGCCATCTGGAGCTGAGCACACTGCTGCCATCAGCTATGAGAATCTTGACAGCAGTGCCAGAAGCATGATTTCCTTTTCCTGTGTTTCATTGGTAGGATCTAAATACTCCAGTGAGCACTGGCGTGCAAATATCACTGGGAGGTAATTTTGTTAGAATGAAAGTTTCTTTTTGTCTCTGAGGGAGGGAGGTAGCATACTTGCTTTAAGAAAGACATATTCAAATGTTACCACATTTAAATGGCCTCAGTCTCTTTCTAGTTTCTAATTACCTGGGGTATGTGAATATCAATTCTTGGGAATTTATTTATTTATTTTGGGTTTTGGGTTTGTTTGTTTGTTTGTTTTTTGTGGTGCTGCAGATGGAACCCAGAGCCTCATGCCAGACAAACACTCTACCACTGAGATACACCCCAGCCCAAGTTCTTAGATGTTAAAAAAGTACACAAAATTTCAAACTTTGAATACATAGAAATTTCAAATGCACATGAAAATCGAATAATACAGTCATTTATTTTTAACACTGATCAACTTCCTGCTAATTCTGTTTTATCTCCCTTTTACCCATGTTTTCTTCTAAAGCAGTAGAGCAAATCTAAGACAATATATCATTTCACTCATAAATATTTCATGTTGTATCTGTATCAGATATGGACTTTTTATGAACAACCATGACATTATCACTACCAACAAAAATAACAATAAAACTTAAATATCATTTAGTAACTAAACCATGTTAAGGTTATCCCATTTATCTTAAAAATGTCTTTTTCTTTTTGTTCAAATCAATATCCAACTAAGGTCCCTACTTTGTATTTGTCTATGTCCCTGAAAATCTCACTTATAACTAACAGTTTATTTCTTCCCTCCCTTTCCTTTTCCCTTCTTCTCAATTTTCTCTTCATTGTTCTTCCTTCTTTCCCTTTTTTATTCCTCTTCCTTTACCTCTATCTTTTTAATTTTTTAAATTCTTTGGTACTGGGGATCAAATCCAGGGCCTTGTACATGCTCAGCATGCTCTGTACCACTGAACTACACTCCCAGCCCCTCTTTTGTTTCTTAATGCCACTTATTTGTGAAAGAAACACTGCATCATTTGTTTTGGGCAGTTACCCACATTTGGGATCTTGCTAACTCTATCTTTGTTGTGTTATCTCTCTCCTCTATTCTATCCCCAAGTAATTCCTGAAAACTGGCATTTAGATCTATCAACTTGATTAGACTATTGATTAATTTGGGGTTTGGAGTTTTTTAAATTTGGCATTGATGGTATTATCTGTTTCTTATTCCATCATATCAGGAGGGCCCTAAAATCTGGGTTTCCCACCTAATAATATATGTTATGCTTTATGGGTGAATTTAGGAGTTTGTCAGTTTGAGCTTTAATATTGGAATGTTTCCCTAACATTCATGTAATGATTTTAGCTTTCATCAGTGATTATTATTTAGAATGCATTACTTCATCAGGAACTTCAAAATAGTAATTTCCTAATCTGTCACTCTTTCAGGGAATGTTTCACATGTTAACCTTAACTGCTTATTATGAACACAGTAATAATCTAATAGCAATGATGTAAGTTGCTGTATAGATTTTTATGGCATCAATATTATTAGTGGAAAGAACAATGGACTTGAAATCAGGATAGTTGCCCAGTTTTCTCATTGTAATATATGAACTTAGAACTGATGCTTTAGGATTCAAAGTAAATTACTTGCATGTGCTGTGTGCATAATTACAGATAGTTGAAAGCCATTGAATTAGTAATTTTTGTATCCCTCACCAAATCCAAAATAAATAAAAAAGGTCTAAAAGAACACTGAAATGCTTTTGTATTAAAATAAACCTTGTTGGCAATTGTAGCTCAGTGGTGAAGTGAATGCTAAGCATGTGTGAGACCCTGGGTTCAATCTTTAGCACTGAATAAAAGAAAGAAAGGAAGAACCTTATTGGGGCATAATTTCATATAATAAAAGAAAGATCTTTTATTATGAATGATCTTTTATTAAGAATGTCTTTAATGCCATAATACTTTAATGCAAAACTGATATAGATCACACTGGTTCAATAAATTTGGACAAATGTGTATGCACCCATGTAACCAATATTCCCATCAAGGTATAAAGCATTTCCATCATCCAGAAAGTTTCTTTGAGCTTTTTGAAGTGAATCCCTCCTTACTTACCACCTCAGGCACCTCTGATTTTATCACAAGGCTAGTTTTGTCTGTTCTAAAACTTCCTGCAAATGCCATAGTATGGTGTATACTCTCTCTAGCTTTTTCAAATTTGATTATTTTGAGATTCACCCATATTGTCATATCAGTACCTCATTCTTTTTTTTAATCTCTGCTTAATTGTGTTTCATTATATGACTGTACCACAAAGTATTTACTCACCTCTCACTGGGACATTTGAGCGATTTCACATTTGAAGCTATTATGAATTAAGCTGCTTTGGACATTTTTATACCAGTGTTTTTATGGACATATGTTTTCCAATCTAAATTCCTATGTGAATGCTAAGAAGTAGAATTGTTGGTTATAGAATAGGGGTCTATTAACCAGGCCTGGTGGCACAGCCTGCAATCCCAGCAACTCGGGGGACTAAGGCAGGAGGATTGCAAGTTTGAAGTCAGCTTCAGCAACTTAGCAAGGCACTGTCTCAAAATAAAAAGGCTTGCAATATAGCTTAGTAATAGAGAGCCCTTGGGATCAACCCCCAGTATAAAAAAAAAAAAAAAAAAACAACAAAGGCAAGGAAGCAAAAAAAGAATAAGTACATTTAACTTCATAATAAACTGCCATTGTTTTTCAAGTTGGTCCTGCCAGCTATGTACGAGTACTCTAGGTGCTCTATGTCCCCACCAACATGTGGTTTTGTCAGTCTGTTTGATTTTAGTCATTCTAGCAAGTATGAAGTGGTATCTTATTGTGATTTAATTTGCATTTTCTTGTCAGCTAATGATACACATCTTCTCATGTACTTATTATGTTCATTTACTTTGATCTCCTTTAATTTCTCTTACCATATTTTATGGTACTCATTGTGAGATCTTGCACATCTTTTGTTACATTTCTCCCTAATAGTTTGTTTGCTGAGGCTATTATAGATGGTATTTTAAGGTTTGAGGATAAACAATCTCAAATTGCTTTTTGATATGAGTAACTTTGGAAATTGGAACTTTGCCAAATTTCTATATATTTTCTGATAATCTTTTTTTTTTGGGGGGGGGCACTGGGGATTGAACTCAGGGACATTCGACCACTGAGCCACATCCCCAGCCCATTTTTGTATTTTATTTAGAGACAGGGTCTCACTGAGTTTCTTAGCACCTTGCTTTTGCTGAGGCTGGCTTTGAACCCTCAATCCTCCTGCCTCAGCCTCCTAAGATGCTGGGATTACAAGTATGCACCATCACCCCCAGCTCTAATAGACAATCTTGACATTTGTGAATAAAGAAAATATTCTTTCCTCAATAATAATAATATAATAATATTTTATTTCTAAATAGGTTCCAACCAGTAATTATCTAAAATATCCAACAAAACAATATTGAGAAAATCCTATATTGATGAAATGCCTATATTGTTAGATTTATAATACAGTCTATCAATTCAACTTAATTTTGGATTCTAAAGTTATGCATATAAATAGACATAGTAGGCAGGCACAATTTCACATTCCTGCCATCCCCAGCAACTTGGGATGTTGAGGCAGGAGGATTGCCAGTTCAAAGCTAGCCTCAGCAACTTAGCAAGGCCCTCAGCAACTTAGCCAGGCCCTGTCTCAAAAAATAAATAAATAAATAAAAAGGGCTGTGGATGTGGTTCAGTGGTTAAGTGCCCCCAGGTTAAATCCCTGATATCAAAAAACAAACAGACATAGCAAAAATATGTATAGACAATATCTGGAGAAATAAAATCCTTAAATTTATCCATGGTAGTAACTTCTTTGTGTCCTTTAAAAAAACTTCTAATCTTTTAATTTATGTTGTATGATCTTTTGATAATGAGAATGAAGTGTTTCTTTTAAAAAGCTATTTATAGTAGAGGATAGGAAAGGCAGCAGAATACAACAGACACTAGTATAACAATATGTAAAACAGTGGATGTGTAACCGATGTGATTCTGCAATCTGTATACGGGGTAAAAATGGGAGTTCATAACCCACTTGAATCAAAGTGTGAAATATGATTTGTCAAGAACTATGTAATGTTTTGAACAACCAACAATAAAAATTTTTTTAAAAAAGCTATTTATATAGAAAGGTACTGCCAGATACACATCTTTCATATAACTTACATAAAGAGTTGTGTAGCAGTCTATGGCTATAAACTTTCTTGTCTCTATTTAATCACCTACAAAAATATTTAAATAAATCAATAAAGTTTGCATATTTAAAAATAGATTGAGTCGCTGCTGAGGCAGCCACGGTGAGTCTCCCGGGCGGGCTCGGGCTGGCTGCGGCAGCGGCGGCGCTCAGCGGCGAGGGCGGGCTCCCGGGCCGACCCACCTAAGGCGGTGGGGGAGGTGTCTGGGCTCAGCATGCCGGCGCAGCGGCTCCTCGCTGGTCGCAGGTGGACACAATATTTTATTTTTGTGTGGTGCTGAGGATTGAACCCAGTGCCTCATGCATGATAAGCAAGTGCTCTACCTCTGCGCCACATCCCCAGCCCAGAAGAGATGGATTTTAAGGAATCGGCTGATGCTGTCATGGGGCTGGCGGGTCTGCAATCCACAGGGCAGTCTGACAGATATTAATCATCTTTCTGAAGTACAATCTCCATGGCCTGAACTTTTTTTGAAAATCATTTTGAGCAAAGCATTTGTTTAATAACAAGATAACCACATCAAGATGGTTGGAAAACTGAAGCAGAATTTACTATTGGCGTGCCTGGTGATCAGTTCTGTGACAGTATTTTACTTGGGCCAGCATGCCATGGAATGCCACCACTGAATAGAGGAACGTAGCCAGCTAGCCAAATTGGAGAGCACAAAAGCCACCGTGCGAACTAGCCTGGACTCTAAAGCCAATAAAACCTTTGCCTATCACAAAGATATGCCTTTGATATTCATTGGCGGTGTGCCTCGGAGTGGGACCACACTCATGAGGGCCATGCTGGACGCACACCCTGACATTGGCTGTGGAGAGGAGACCAGGGTCATTCCTCGGATCGTGGCCCTGAAGCAGATGTGGTCGCGGTCCAGTAAAGAGAAAATCCGCTTGGATGAGGCTGGTGTCACTGATGAAGTGCTGGACTCTGCCATGCAAGCCTTCTTACTAGAAATCATCGTGAAGCATGGGGAGCCAGCCCCGTACTTATGTAACAAAGATCCCTTTGCCCTGAAATCCTTAACTTACCTTGCCAGATTGTTCCCCAATGCCAAATTTCTCCTGATGGTTCGAGATGGCCCGGCATCAGTGCATTCAATGATTTCTCGGAAAGTTACTATAGCTGGGTTTGACCTGAACAGCTACAGGGACTGTTTGGCCAAGTGGAATCGTGCCATAGAGACGATGTACAACCAGTGCATGGAGGTCGGTTACAAAAAGTGCATGTTGGTCCACTACGAGCAGCTCGTCCTCCATCCTGAGCAGTGGATGAGGACCCTGTTGAAGTTTCTCCACGTCCCATGGAACTACTCAGTGCTGCACCATGAGGAGATGATCGGGAAGGCTGGGGGAGTGTCGCTGTCAAAAGTGGAGAGATCTACAGACCAAGTCATCAAGCCAGTCAATGTGGGAGCTCTGTCAAAATGGGTGGGGAAGATCCCTCCAGATGTCTTACAAGATGTGGCAGCGATTGCACCCATGCTTGCCAAATTGGGGTATGACCCTTACGCCAACCCACCCAACTACAGGAAGCCGGACCCCTGGATCCTCGAGAACACCAGAAGGGTCTACAAAGGAGAATTCCAGCTACCTGACTTTCTGAAGGAAAAACCCCAGACGGAGCCTATGGAGTAGCAGGGCCTGGAACCTCCTTCACACCTTGAGGTGAGGGTTGGGCTTCACTCCTGGGTTCTGGGGTGTCCCCCTGGGCTGTTGCAGAAGGCCACATCACCAAGTGGAGAGCACAGCTTTGGAGTCAGGTGCCTGGGTTGGAATCCTTCCTTGGTCACTTGTGTGGCATTGAGCAAATTACTTAACCTCACTGTGTCCTAGTTTTTTCATCTGTAAAACAAAGGGCTGAAGATACAGCTCAGTGGTAAGAGTGCTTGCCCAGCATGCATGAGGCCTTGGGTTCAATCCCAGCACCACCAAAAAAACAAAGAGTGCCACCTGTAAGATGAAGAGGTCACTGGTAGCACTTAACACCCTCACTTCTTGAGGAACACACAAATAGAGTTAGGTGTTACCTTGGTGATGAAGTGGTCTGACATCATGACTATAGAGAGGACCTGTAGACAGACAAGCCCACTCACCTTTTGCTGATGAGGAAAGTGATCTCAGAGGGAGCAAGACATTAGGTCATCTCATGGAGCAAGAGGGAGCCCAGAGCTAAAGAGCATCTTCTCTTGACTTGTCACCAGGCTCTCCCCACTGCCCCTGCTGCCTGCTCTTTCTGCTGGACTTGGAGTATGTGTGTATGAGATTTTTTTCTTCTGTTTTGTTTTTCAAGATTGCCCTTACACTTTTATTTATTTATTTATTTATTTGAGACAGGATCTTACTGCTAAGTTGCTGAGGCTGGCTTTGAACTTACAATCCTCCTCCCTCAGCCTCCTGAGTTGCTGGGATTACAGATATGCACCACTGCACCTGGCCTGATTTTTGCTTTTATTTTTACTTTATGTAATAACCATGTACTGAGTGCATTCTTCAAACCAGGCATAAGCCCACAAGTGCACTCTGTTTTTATTTATCTATTAATTATGTTCACATAATATATATATATTCTTTCAGTTCTCAAAGCATTCTGGCAGGTAAGTGCTATTATTCCTGTTTTCTTAACTTATTTTTTAATTTTAATTTGTTATATATGACAGCAGAATGCATTACAATTCATAGTACACACATAGAGCACAATTGTTCATGTCTCTGGTGGTACACAATGTAGAGTCACACCATCCGTGTCTTCATACTTGTATTTTGGGTAATGATGTCCTTCTCATTCCACTGTCTTTCCTACCCCATGTTATTCCTGTTGTTGTAGATGAGAAAACTGAAGTTAAGTAACAGAGATTGAGTGGGAGATCTTTGTGGTTCGCTGTGTTTATGGAGCGCTGCTGTGTCACTGAGTTAATAAGTTTTAGAATCACAGTTGCCTTTTTTCCAAGGTGCAGATGCTGCGTGTCCCTACCATGTCCTCTGCATACCCTTTGCATGCCCCCTTGCATACAGACTTGCATGTCCAATCGCTGTCCTGCATCCTGGATGATTTTGTTCACCCAGGTGGCCTCAGCATCCGCAGGTGGTACCCTAGCCCTGCCGACGCACAGGGGCCTCCTTGACCCACTGGCTGGTCCATGAGAGAAGGCGTTGCCTGTTGACCCGGCCCTGGGGCGCCCAGGGCAGTGTTCCACCCTGGCCTGCTGACTGAGCCTGTGGGTGCCCAGCCCTCAGGGAAGCTGGGGGCTGCCGCGCATCCTGGGACATGCCCGTCCCTGGTTTCTTGGGTCCCTCTACATCTCGGTGCGGCCCATGCTCTCTGGCACTTTCTCTGCAGGGTCTCGGTGTGCACCTGTTCAGATGGCCAGGGTATCAAGGTGACCGCTGCACCCTGGATGCGGTGCCCTCAGTGGCTTCACTGAGCTGTGCCCAGGGTAGGGCTGCCTCTGCGCTTTGCACAGAAGTCACTTGCAGGTGCGCGGGGGCAGTCCTGCAGTGCCTGCCCGGAGCAGGGATGGAGGCAGGAGGCAGGGAGCCCGGGAGTCCTAACGCTCTGTCTGCCCCAGGGAGCTGCAGAGCCCAGCGGAGCCCAGGCAGCCTGCCGTCTCCTGTGCACTCCAGCCCCTCCTGCCAAGGGCGGGTGTCCGCTCCTGTGGATAAGGAGCCAGGGGACAGTGCCCTCAGTTAGCCCTACTCTTGTCCTCATCTTTTCTTAACAGTTTCCAAACTTCGTTTTCAAGGGGAGGGTTTAAAAATGGTATTCTGTAAGCAAAATGGGCAGTTTCATTTTGGGATAGGTTGTCTGTACTTGGTCCAATGTTTCGTAGAACACTTGTGCCTGTTTAAATGTATTGATGTGGATAATATTAAATATCTTAATTATTTAAGTAATTCATTGTATTGTTTCTGAGAAGTTGGGAAATTACCGTATACATTTACAACTTAATGACTTTTGTATTTTATTTTTCAAAATAAAAGCTTTGAATGTGAAAAAAAATAAAAAAATAAAAATAGATTGAGGGTCTGAGAGAAACAGGTTTAGTAAAGAATATCAGGAGTTCAGTTTGGGATATGTTAGGCTTAAAATGCCCATTAGGCATCTGAATGTAGATGTTGTTTAGACAATTTTGTATGGGTTTCTAATTCAAATCAGAGATTCTTGCTTGAGCTTCAAATACAGAGGTCTTCAGCATGGTCAGTTTAGATGGCAATCAAAGTCATATGATAGATATTTGATATCACCAAAAGAGATAATGTATGTAGTAAGAAAATAAAAGCCTAAAGACTAAATCTCTTTTACACATAAAGAGGATGAACAGACTGGGAGAAACCAGCAAAGAAGTTTGAAAAGCATCTGCCAAAATTGTAGAAGGAAAATCATTAACATCTGGTGTCTTATAAGTCAAGTATATGGTTTTAAGGCACAGAAAAGTGATCACTGTATCAAATGTTGCTGATAAGTGAAGACAGATGAGGCCTGCTAATTTGCCATTGGATGTAACAAGTTGGAGGTTATTGTGACCTTAGAAGAACAGTTGTGGTGGCTAATGGGCTACAAGAAAGGTAAAGAGAGAAATTGGTGATGGTTAATATAAATAACTTTTTTAAAAAGGAATTTGGATCTTCCTAAGAAGACTAATCCTGTAAATTTGAGTATGCAGGAAGAGAACAACTTCTTAGGATTGAAATCAAGAATCAAATTTCCAGAAGGAATGCAGTGTAAATACTAATCTATCATTTGGGGAATTTGGCCAAAACAAAGCATCTTATATTTTGTATGATACTTATAGTACAAATTTCTTCTTGCTACTTTAAAAATTCTAATCCAAATATTGTGACCATAATCTTTGTGCCCTTTTTTTTTGCCCTTTTTATTCTCTTCATTATGGTAATAGAGCATAGATACATCAGTCAGAAAACTGATATATTCAAAATTAATTGTTTGATACTATCCATGTTACCAGGAAAAGATCAAAGTTACAAATTCACAACAAATATATTTTCATTTTTATCAAACAATCAATATTTTTGTTTTCCAAATCACATTTAAAGGAATAAATTTTCTCACCCATTTGTAAAAGTCCTCTTGAACCTAGATTCAGTAACCTTAGTAATTACTAAGAGTAGATTGAGTGCATAGTGATTCTTAGATTAAAAACTAAGTAATTTCACTGTCATCAATAATTCTCTTCATTTATTCTACTACACTCTTATGTACGTATGCCCGAAAATAAATTATAATAAAATTTAAAAAATTTAGAGTGATTTACTGAAAAGGTTGAAAAATATGAAGAACATTAGCCATCACCATCATCAATTCTTTCCATGTAAAAGAAAATAATTTTCCTTCAGTATGAAGGTTCCTCAAAAAACTAGGTATAGAGCCATCATATGACCCAGATATACCACTCTTTGGTAATTATTCTAAAGAATTACAGTCAGGATACTATAGTGATACATGTATACCCATATTTTTGGAAACACAATTCACAATAACCAAACTATGGATCCAGCCTAGGTGTCCATAAATGGATGAGAGGATAAACAAATGTGGCATACATACACAATGGAGTTTTATTCGGTCATAAATAAAAGTGAAATTAAGTTATTTGCAGGAAAATGGATGGAACTTGAGAATATTGTTAAGCAAAATAAGCCTAACTCAGAAGGTCATATATTTTCTATTATATGTGGAAGCTAGAAAGGAAAAAAGAAAAGAAAGATCAGGGTCCAGGATCTTATGGAAAGAAACCAGGGAGAGGGAGGAGGTGGGGATGGAAAGGGAAAATACTGGGAAATTATATTGGCCAAATTATATTTTTATATTATATACATATACAAATATATAACAAAAAACCCTATACCATTATGCACAACTATTGTGCACCAATACAAAAAGGGAAAAAAAGAAAATATAGTTACTTGGATATTCAGAGACTTAAGGTCTTGTCATTAAAAAATTAAAACAACAACCAATCTGGCAGTTTGAATGTTGTTATTCTAAGAGTCTGATTGCATAGATGAATAGTAGTCATCTGAAGATTGAGTGAGTGGAACAGAATGAAATCTATTGAGACTGAGATAATCCTCTTATCAACTAAATAGCACAGGTGCCTGTAATCAGGGGAATATGCCCTACATGAGGTACATAAAGCCAAGAACCAAAAACTTCCATGCTATTCTGAACAAATGTATTTGATAGGAGATACATGAAGGGGGAAAGCAATTTGAAGGATGTGAATGTCTTTAATTTTATAAAAAATGTTTTAGAAATGATAAGTCAGGAAAATATACGAGAGTCACTAGAGTCATGTTCTGATTTTCAGAACATGGTGTTAGTTGCCTTGAATTGAATTTACCTTCTTCAGTAATTTTTAGATGCAATCAAAGACTGTTGTGTGGGTATTTTCTTGAAGGACAGGAATTAATACAGCAATACATAATGATTAATTTTATAATACTCATTGTTACTTAAGCTAATTTTTAGAATTATTAATAAAATATGTTAAATAATAAAATCATCATATTCTTAATTAGTCTAGGACTGATGAACATAATTTGCGTTTAATATTAATCATATGACTGTTTTTCTGTATAGAAATGTTATTAGGCTGAACTGATCGAACATTACACTAAAGTCAGTAGGTGCGTTTCCTATTAAAGGAAGATAAGAATTTGTTTTAGTCAGCATTTTAGCTGCTGTGACTAAAGGATCTGACCAGCACAACTGTAGGGGAGGGATAATTTATTTGAGGGCTTACAGTTTCAGAGGTCTTAGTCCAGAGAAGGCTAGCTCCATTTCTCAGGGTTGAGGTGAGGCAGAACATCATGGCGGAGTGTGTGGCAGAGGGAAGCAGCTCACATCATGGTGGTCAAGAAGGAGAGAGAAGAGAGGAGAGAGGAGAGAGGAGAGAGGAGAGAGGAGAGAGGAGAGAGAGAGAGAGAGACTCCAGCTCCA